ATTTTCTATCTGTATATAACACGAGCAGGTAAATGAAGATGTTAAAGACCTCGATAAGACCTTTACCTGTAACCGTACTTCCAAAAGCGGCTTCCCCCAGAGGGAGAAACCCTAATTTGTCCTAGCTGCATGCAGTTTTCAGTAAATATATTAGAATCAGTTTGACTTCGTGCGACAACCCCGAACTGAGTACCTGTTTTTCACTCGGGTTTTCGCCTATTTTTTTGTATTTCATTTCTATCGATAAACGTTCTTTTTCTGCAGTCGATCGAGTCAATCTTTATTCGCAAATTAAGGATCCTCAATAATAACTCTTTTTCCTTTGAAGAGGTTAGAGTTTGTACAAGAGAGTCGCTTTAAAAGAAATTTCGGAAGGAAACATTCATTGTTGTGCATTACGCCTGCACTCTTTTGTATAATTTTTCTTGCGTTGATCAGTTCCTCGAATTATTCTGCGCGTAACAGTGATAGTTAGGCGATCGAAAGTTGAATAATTCACGAGATATTTCAACCTTCCTACGAAGGAGAGTTTCCAAGCATAAATTGCTAATTTCAATGAAACTCTCCTGGGATTTAAAAAATTTTGATTACGATGATATTTAAAAAAATAATATTCGAACAGGATTTTCTGAAAGACAGCATTTCCTTGTAAAAGTATGAGACTTAGACGATCGAAAATTAAATTTTATATTTCAATCTTCCTACGAAGAAGAGTTTCCAATTAACAAAACTCTTTTGATTAAGGTATAATTTTCAAAAAATATATTCGATTTTCTAAAAAAACAGCCATTATGCGAGATAACTTTATTCCATATTTTCGACTTACTTTTACGATGTACGGTGATTTCTGGAACACTCTGTATACACAAAAAGTACACTCATACGTGCAAAGAAACGTTTGGTAATACAAGTTTGCAGAAAGGTAATAAATCGATATGGTCGCGTATCAGGAAATCGGAAGACCCAATCAGAGTATTCGATGTACCAATATTTACCGTGTGGAAGGCTAATGGATTTCTTCATTACGATAATAGCGGTCGCCTCCGTTGGGATTACAGGGTGGATGGTACGGATAATAAAGCGAAAGGCGACTTGGTAGTCGGATTTAAAACAGCTTCCCCTATCGCTTTTCGATGCTCCTTTTATCGACCGCCAACCTAACCTCAACTCTCCGCTAAATCAACCCTGTTCGAAACTATCGTTTCGCAATTTTTCCTATGCTTCCGTGTTCAATGAAGAACTAGGAAAATTCGGAATTAACTGTCGGTAAGAAAAATTCAAAATGAGAAATATAATACTGAAAAATAGAACTCGAACTCGTAGAAAAGGATATTCTTTAGGATATTCGATGAAAACGAAGTGTTGCATTTGTTGATAAAAATTAGCAACGTGTTGACGAATTATGGAGACGAAAAGCGTTCGATTACGTTATTTCAGCAAATCGTCGGAGCACCAGTTAGTAAGAAGGATCATCTTGCTGTTAATCCTCGCGCTTCGTTGCGAACCGGAAATCGACTGAGCACGGAGGTCGAGGTTTCCTCGTGTTACAAAGCCACGGTTACGCTGCACCGTGACGTCGCGTAATACATAGAATCACAGTGTATTCGAAGCAAAAAGAAAACACTCTTAGAAAATCATTAACCACAAGAAAACCAAAAAAGAAGGAGGAACAACATTGATTTTTATCAATGAAAAGATCTTCCTTCGGATCATTAGTAATTTCTCCGAACCGAGGAATACGTTCGTAGCCCCGTGTACTCAATTAACACGAAAATCCACTGTTGAGAACCGCAAGAAAGCCGCGGGTCAAAGAACTCCAGCCAGAAGAAAAGAGCCCTTTGAATAATTGAAGAAGGGCATTACAGTCAGGTGAGAGAGTTGGTTGCAACGGTGCAACAGACTCACTATCGTCCACAGTTTCGATCGATTTCCCAGAGTCATTGACCTCTACCGCGATTATGCTAATGCCTTGTCGTAGGTTTCAGTCTTGCACTACTACACCCACGTATGGTGACTGTTTTCAAACTTTTTCCTCCACCCTCGAACATTCACATTGGACAATTTAGGAGACGATTGCTCGAAATCTCTCGTTTTTCGATGGTAAAGTTAGAGGGAAAAATAACACATTCTGACCATATTTTTTAAAAGACGAACCGACGGTGTTTTGGTCAGGTTATCAGTGTCGTAACTCTTGAGACGCTGGATATTTACGCGGCTGGTAGTTTTACAATGCCTCTTCCTTTTACTACCCTCGAGTGATGCAAGTTTCAAGAGTTCCACTTACTTGACAAATTAGCACACTCTGCGAACACCGGTGTGCAATTTGTCAAGTAGATCTGCAATAAAATTCCTTTCTTCCGGGGAGAAGAAACGTTTCGAAAGTAAAGTGGAGCAGGTTTCGTGGACGTTTGATAAATGAGCGATTAGAAATAACGGGTTAATAAATCTACAAATTCGTCTGGATATTAGAAAAGAGGAAAAGGTAGTATGAATGATTTTTAATTGGAAAATTTTCCGAGTAGCGTTACCTGCTCGTAAACGCCCTGCTTAGTGATTTTCCCTGTGGAAAAACGAGTCGTCGACCGTTCCCCGGGGAACGATCGCGATAGCATACACTCCTCTGGTCTCTCCCCCATTCGAAACGCGCGTATAAAAGCGTTAACGATGATCTTTCTGCTCGCCATTATCACTGACTATCGCTAACTAGCTCTGTCCCTCGGTTCGTAGAACTTGATTGGCAGTGGCCTCCGTTTTGATTGGCCCGTCGTACACTGCCTGGATCTCGTTTTCATCGGATTGCGGAACGTTGGTGAATTTTCTCTGTGGCTGCGATTCTGTTAGCTCTTCGACGTGAAATTCTTTCTCCAATTTTTGCAGAAATGTTTCTCACAGCGGTAACTTTCGGCGAGTGTGATTCTTTTTTCTTTCCTGTCTTCTTGTAACGAAAGAAATTCTTGGAGTGAACGGTGGGAGCGATTGGAATTGTCGCGGCGTGAACGTTGAAAATGTTCCGTTTTGCGTGTGATTAAATTTTCAGGTGAACTCGACGACGCAAATTGAAATTATCTGGTCGCTGGATGAAAAGAGGGATAAACCGAGATAAGCTCGAGAGCCGCGAGTTTTACCTCGTTTCCACGGTCCTTCGCTGATAAAATATCTCTTGTGCGCGGTTAAAACGCCTCATTTTTCCAAATTTGCATATTACCCTTGAGCAGTTAGAATTACCGGAATGTAACGCAATTTCGTTGAAATTCTCCAGGCTTCTCGCGCCGTGCACCGTGAAGAACAGGTCTCTCGTCGGAATTGTAAGGAAAGAGGAATAAAGAGAATCTTTTTTTATTAATATTCTAGATGTGTGAAACATATACTACTACTTTTTTCTCCAATTCACGACTGAACGATTGATTTATCACGTTCAGACTCGAGGTTCAGTTGGAAAAATTGAGAAACGTTCGATTGCTTATTGTGCACACCGTAGATCGTTACATTAGCCGGTAATGAAGTATGCAAAATGCTAGGCAGGACATATGTAGGCCTCGTTGCGACACAGCTGTCTACCAGAACGACAAATACAGTTAGAGTCGTCACGTTAAAGTGTCCCATGCAGCTTTTCCTGAGACCTGTACGACCGCAATAAATCCGTCGTTGCACGTGGATTCGCGTGATCCCCCGATGCACCAAGTGGTTAGGTTGCGCCAGCTTGAAACTTCGCGTTTAGAAACTAGTCTCGACGTACCTACGGTATTCTCTTTGCACGCGAAACGTTCCTGCTGGTACAGAAATTTTCGTTCGCCTGAGCTCTGATACGCGATCCAGATCGTTTGGGTGCGTTTTACATTTCACCGAAGAAAATTTTCAGAAAGTATTCGCAAGAAGAGTATCATATCCTTTACACTTGCTTCTTCGAAAATTTCGTATATTCATATTTCATTATTGTATGAAAATAAAAATGATAATTACAGTGTTTGACATTTTATCGTTTATTTTGAGTATTTGGTAGTAACGCCTATGACAGTGTAGAAATAAAGATCAAAGCCTCTTTAATATGTCCTTCAATTTTCCTATGAATATTAATTAATTTGAGAGACACAACAGTTTCGAGAAAAGGGTTCCACGTTTCCTCGAATTTCTCTAAAATGCCTACATTCCACTCTTGGTAGTGTTTATTAAAAGAGAAAGAAGAATCGTATTAGCAGCTTTCATGCTTGTCCCGTGGAAAGAAGAGAATGCCGCATGGTGCATCGGGAAAATCAATGCAGCGGTCCAGGGGTCTTAATCCGACGCGATCGGTCATCAACGTTTGATCCATTTTTCCCCAGGAGCAAACTAGGAAATAAAATTTCCCCGCGTTCGCCCTCGTTACATTCACCCTTCGACCTGGCAACCCTTCCTCCTGACCTACGCCCTACATTCGCCTCCGTGTGTCCTCGTTCGCCCGTTCCTCTCCGCCCCAAAAAGCGGTATCGGGGCTGCAGATGGAAAATATGCTCTTTAATGTCTGTTCACCGTTGCCCTTCTTCTGCTTCCTTTCTCTGATTGTTCGTTCATTCTGTGCTGCATTTTCTTTTTTTTTTTTTTTTTGTCTTTTTTCCTCTTTTTTTCCTTTTCCCCCGCTCAACCATCTCCCTCTCTGCAACACGCTCCATTATCGTGCTCCTTTCTGTGTTTCAGCATAAATGGAGGGCGAAGTTTTTAAGCGAACGTAATACGATTTTTCCCTCGCTCGAAAATCGTGGCAACGTTAGAGTTTCGAAGGATAAAAAATAGAAATATGCAAGAATTGTGTGGAATTAGGAATGTTTATTAACGAAGATGTACGAACAACTGTAATACACGTAAATTTTACCCACGATTCTCGACTTTGCAATGAACGCTGCCGCTTATAGCCAGCTCCTTCGTGGTTTCTCCCGTTGGGCCTCGTCGGGCCTGTTTTCTTAAAACTACGTTTCCCTGGAATCACGATCCTACAATTGTAATATACTCCTTCGTTCTTGTTGCAGGAATGTTCATCGTCCAGGACAAAATTCTGATTTTCACGTACTCCTTAGCCGAATGGAAGATCATCGTGACGCATTACGGCGGTTTAGCTGGTTTAGCCTTCGTTGGACTCCTGCTAGCAGCAATTCTACCCTGCGTAGGATTGTTCTTCTGTTGCTGTAGGTGTGCCGGTCACTGCGGCGCGAGGAATCAACCTTTCGACAAGAAGCACGATCATTGTAGGAAGGTGATGCTCAGCATGGTGTTGATCGGGGTTGCCACTATCATACTGTGAGTATCTCCAGGGAATTATAATGCAAATGAAATTGCTACAAAAATAATGGAGAAAAAAAAAAGAGAAAAATTACAACACGATGAAAATTGCCCTCGATCTTGTTTATCCGTTCACCCGAATATATTCCGTTTCGAACGATTTCTATCTCCTCTCGTTAATTTCCCCGGAGCTCGGCAAGAAATTCTCCCTCTGTGCTTTTGGACAAGTGTGCTGCCAATGTCTGTTCGAAACACAGGCTTCAAAGGGAACCGGGTTTTGTGTCAATAAATTATTTATCGACGATACTCGATGCACGGAGAGGCTTTCCAATATTGTTTGTTCTCGCGATGGGAGACAGTCGTGTCTGGCTTGTAGGTTTGGCGTGGTCTGCGCGTTCGTCACCAACGAATACATGCAAGACGGCACCAAGGAGCTACCTGGCAACGTCAAGATCAGCTTGAAAGACGTACAACTGTATCTGTCCACGACGAAACAGGAGATCAAGAACCTCCTACAGACTAATTTCGACGAGCTCGAGATTAATCTGAACAACATCCTTCAGGCAAGCGGGAGAATCGTCACCGAACAACTCGCTGAATACTCGCACGCTGTCTCGTTGACCAATCTTAGCGACATCGTGACCGGTTTGGAATCGATCAAGGAGGATCTGAAGATCATGAACACGATCACGTGGGATCTGAGGACGAACGCTAGCAAATTGGACATTGGTACGGCACACCTTTCACACTCACCTCTTCGTTTTCTTTTCTTTTTTTAAACATTGTGCTTGTACACAGAGAATGTTCGACTTGACAAAGTTATTAAAAAGTTACCTGTAAATCTACGAAGTTTGGAAAAAAAAGAAAAATTGAATTTTCATGGTACCAAAGTTCCCTTCTTGCTTACAATTTGTTACTTTACAATTGTACAATGATAATTGGAGAGTTGTGTCAGTGGTTAAGTGTTTTCGAAACATTTCTGACTACAAAGAAATTTTCTTGTCTGTATTTTGTACAATCGTGGAGTATAATTTAATTAGAATTACGAATCGTCTTATTATCGAGTGTAACCCGTTTGGCAAAAGGCTTGTTTCACGCTTGTTTCAGTTATACGAGGCGTTAAGAACAATCTCCTCCACAAGCTCACGGCTTGCAAGACCCAACAGTGCATGCAAGTGTTGAACGATTACAAAGTGAATCAAATGTCGGTTCAAGTGGACTTCGACAAGGTACTTTAACCTTTGTTTCTCCGTTAAGTTCGTCAACATATTTCAATTCGGTTAACGATCGTTAACCGAATTTTCATTTACTTGTTACAGTACATGGACCGTTATTTCCCGAAGGTATGTGTAGGATATATACTAATTGTTATTATTAACCTGAAGTATACGTTCAGTCGTAAATAGAGAGAAATAGTTTCCATCGATTCAACGGAGGACACCGCTTCTCTTTCGCTTTCTTTACCATTTTTTTTGATCGTTTCACGAGGAACGACGAGTCTTCTTCGGTCTCTGTTTCATTTGCCTGTGTTTGACGTTTAATCGATTAGCAAGACCAATGGATATTGAGAAGCTTCTCTCGAGAGCCATTGGTTCACGAATAGAATTATTGTTATAAACTTATTTGATTCCATGCTTACCACAAATAAGCTTCACTATGTAAGTGAGATGAGTTGAAGCATGCTAAAATTCTTATCTGTGTCGTTCGTTTGATACCTCTATTTGTGTGTTTAGATTAACGGAAAAAAAAACCTTGCGAAAACCCTTGTCTAATTACAACGAAGAAAGGAAAATTGCATTTTTTTCTTTATTTTTCACGGCTGAACAAAGAACCTGTTTCTTTTCTCTCCACCTACCTACTCCCCTCTCTTATTCTGCACACACACAGTTTTCTCTCTTTCTTCTGAATTCAGACCTGTCAAACATGTCTTGAATATATACTCCGTCCACGGGCGAGAGCACACTTTGCATTCTATCAGTCTGCAACGAAAAGCCTTTTCGACAGAGTTCGTACACTTCGGTGCACTTTCCACGGCACACCGTTGTCCCATTAAACATACGCGGCGAAATGTCCGTTTATAGAGACTCGAGCATGACACTCTTTTTCATGTCGGTATATATACCTCTCTGACTCTTCCAAGTTCTCTCGTTTAAATGTGTCACTAAAATCTCATTGTCACACCTTCTTCTTCTACTTCTTCGCCTTCCTCGGCGGACGTAATTACTCCTAACGACACGAATGGGAGATTAATCGAGGACGATTTTCACGGGTTTCTTCCAGTTGCCAAACGTCACATCCGCGCTGTACAACATCACGATGCTGATGAAGGGTAACATCGTGTCGGAAGTGAGCCAGGGCAAGGAGTCGTTTCTCAAGATACAAAAGGACATTCAACACGCCGTGAATCAGACGATCCCTGTGGTCAGCGCGAGCATCAGGAGGTGCGGTGACTTTTGCGCGAGCCTCGCGTTAAACACGACGTATCTCATCGACAGGCTGCACGTTCAGATAGACAAGGTTTACATGAAGCATCTAGACGTTGCTCAAGCTCACATCGATCAGTATTCACCGTATAGGTAAACACAGTTGATCGCGGTTTCGTTAGGTGTTCCTTAAACTGACCGATTGATTTTTATTCCAGGTACTATCTAGGTCTAGGAATATCCGGAATTCTGCTGACCGTTTTAATGTGTCTGACTTTTGGCCTCTTCTGCGGTATCTGTGGAAAACGTCCCGATGGCTATGGAGACGATTGCTGCAACAAAGGATCTGGAGCTCGATTCCTTATGATGTAAGAGAAGAATCACGTTAGCGAGAAAAAGGTTCAAGTTATTGTCAGATATTTCATTTCGTGCAATTTTCTCCAGGGCTGTGTGGATAATTTTCCTTCTAACGAGCATCCTGATGGTCATTACCATGGCACACATGGTCACCGGTGTTTTGGTGCAAAGAGCAATCTGCGAGCCGCTGAAGAACCCGCATGATAACAGGATGTTCGCTCTGGTCGACGAAATCGTCGAAATCAAGAAGCTCCTATATCCAAAGAATCCCAATGCTGACGTGAACATGAGTTACATAGTAACGTAAGTGATCGAAGCCTCATCGGTATCGGTGATTGAAATTAACAGACACCGTTAATTACAGACAATGTCATCAAGACGAGACTCTGTACAATGTGCTGAAACTGAACAACCTCTTCGACGTGAGCACGTTACGCGAGTACGCTGGACGATACGATATCAATAACACCATCCAACAGTTACGTCGTAAGATCAGCTTGTCGCCGGGTGTGGTCATACTCACGGATAGCGCCAAGTCGAAGTTGAACGATCTCGCGCAGAGCGGCCTCAGCGATATCAAGTTCTATCAGTATGCGGAATTCCTGGCTGATAATATCACGAATATCAATTTGGAACACCTGGCCAGACAGTTATGGGAGGTCTCGGCTAAGTTGCCAGACGGTCAGAAGGACATTCGAGAGAGTTTGGAGAAGAACGCGTTGGATCTTGGATACAATCATAAGGAGCTTGTGATGCCAATGGCGATGTACAGCGAACAATTGGCCGCGAAAGCTCAGATGCTCGAGGAGAAGATCAAGTTTAATCATTCCTCCATGGCAGAGGCAATTCACGATCTGGTGGAGGAAGTGACGAAGGCGCAACAGTTCCTGAACAAGGACGGGCCGGAATGCGTGCAACATGTAGGTTTCTATTGATCGATCGAAACATGATCGTTGCGAGATAGTGTGATCACGATTAGCTGGGTTTTTGGTGTTGTAGCTAGCAACTAGGTTCGGAAACGCTTTCCTTCGTCAAGTGGATGACTTCTTGGAGCGTGTGATCGATAACGCGTTGTTAAACGTTGGAAGGTGTGCTCCTGTTTCGAATGCCTACAACGCCACGCTGGTTGCCGGGTGTAACAAGATCTTGGATCCATTTGTACGTGATCGATATTGATCTACTCTTCGTAGTTCCTTAGATAGCCTTCTTTCGAAGATTTTATTGTTGTATCGATGATTTGTAGAATGGTTTCTGGGCGAGTGTCGGATGGTGTTTGATCCTCTTCATTCCGACCATAGTGCTCTGCGTGAAATTGAGCGCGCTGTATCAGAAATCAGACCCTTATCCAGGACCTCTAGTCGAAGCGTAAGTTTCACATATTTTTGCTAACACTTGAACCCCCCAATCGATAGACCAAACATATTCACCGTTTCCAAGATGATAATTAGACGTCCAATGCATGAAAACTTGAAGATACCATTGTGAAATCAGGACCATTTGTCGAAACGAATGAAATATGAAGAAATATTGAAACAATTGGCTAGTTAGTGTCATGAAATAAACCTAGGAAACAAGAATACTCATTACATTCACTCGGAAAAACAAATCGCTTCTATGATTTCTCCGCTATAATCTCTAGCCAGCGAATTCTGAGCACCCTTTTATGTAGAAACTGTTGAAGTCTTCTGTCTCTCACTCTGGTAGTATTTTTAATCGAGCTTCGATATTGATACTCCTAGCATGTATTTTACCCGCGCTTGCAACATTTCTTTTCTGATTTTCCTAGTTGGCATGAAATAATCGTCCTTATCATTAAGTTATAGCGAGTCTCGAAATTCTCACGCGGATCGATGATAAACTTGTTGCTTCTCGTAAAGTGCAGCGCGCACCGCCTTACACTGTCAATTTGCGTCTTCTCTTTGTGCTATTAAACCAATTGTTCTTTTCCCCTTTCCGTCGCAAGAATGTATCGAGAATTAAGAAAAGAAAAAAAAGAAACTTTGCGAAAAGTCTGGCTGGAATTGGATAGTCCGATACTTGTCCTTTTCCTACTACCTTTTATCTGTTGAATTCGTGGATAAAGCGATCGGACAATCGAATCCCTTCCTCTACACGAAATGCAGTAGTTTACATTAATCTTAAAAAGTAGCTGTCTAATGTGTGGAATGGTTGTTGGAATCTAACCGCTAACACGCTCCGTTCCAGTGAATATTTGTATGACGCGTACGCAGACAGGGATAACATACCCCTTACTCGGTAAGTATACAACAACAGCCAAGTTGCTCTCGCATGCTGAATTATATCTGTTCGTGTTACGCATGCCAGTAAATCCTTCTTTTAACGCTGTCGACACATATTGTTTCGTTCCACGAAATATATTTTCCGTACCAGCATTCCTGATATGTTGTTCACGATCGTAGAGAGTGGACCGTTTGATTAGAACAATTATTTCCTCTGTCTGCATGGAACAACATCCTTTACCTCTGATTTAACGAACACCCTAGATTAAATATCGTTAACAAAAAAATGAAGAAAACTGTTAAAGGAAAGAAAAGAAATGATTTATTAGAGATTCCTTTACTGTAGATCCTGCAGTATCGTTTGAGTTATTTAGGTAAAACGAATCTCTGTAAATCCACACAGTTAATTTTCTGTTACTCGAATCTCTATACTTTGGATACCTTCTTGGCTATTTTAAGATAATTAAACCGATCGTCGAGAATTGTATTGTGATGCAAATCAGTCCAGAAGGTGTCGAAACTCACAGTATAATAGTACTTAACGCTCGTCTACTGTCTTTCTTGCGCTTTCAATTATCACACAAAGAAGAGAAACTGTTTCTTGTACACACACACACACACATACACACGTATATACTGACCTTAGTAGCGTGGAAGGCTAGTCTTTTGTCGCGTGCTAAGCTACTTAGGACATTAATGACACACGTAACAATACACACACACGCACACAAAGTTATATAATACAGCTTAGCAGAACAGTACACTGATATCTCTAACTCGCATGACGAGTGGTGATCCGCTCGCGATTAACCGGACTGAAACGTTCCTTCTGCTTGCAGCGTTCACGACAAGAAATACGTGTCGCATAGTAGAGATCCTTATCCGAAGTTCGAAACCTACGACGGTCCCGCGGGCGGCTACAGCGAGCGGGAAAGGATCCCTGAAGCGCATCAGAGCACGTCCCATTGTCATCCCTATTCCAGATACTCTGACGTGGCGCCGAAGTAAGTGTCCAGAGACGAGTCACTTCAGATCTGTATCGAGACGAAAAAGTTCTTGAAGCGACAGAATCCTTTTTTCTTCCCCCATTAACGAAAGAAGAAAAAAAGAAGAGACAACTCTTTTCATTCATATTCATCGAGCAAAAATCGAGTACTGTCGCTTTAAGGATCTCTCTCTATTTTTTTTTTTTTTTTTTTTTTTCTTTCCATTCATATGGATCTTCATTCGAATCGTCATTTTGCATTTATCAGAAAGTAACGAAAGTCGGTCGTGTTGATCTAGCGAAGCGTAGAGAACGCGCGTTCAATGAGCAAATCGAACGGTATTATATTATTTGGGGTTTGAGTATAGGAGTATGTGTGTTTGATCAATTTTCGAAGAAAATTTCTACACTATCTCTCTTGATCCTTTCATTTTTCTCCGGTTTACCAGTTCATCTATTGTTTATTTTACAGTTCCACCCCAAAGTGGCGAAGCCACAAACATACCGCCCCCTCCAAAACAGAACCTCACAATAAAGTCTTTAGCATATCGATAGAAACGCAGTAAGTCTGATAATTCCATTCCAATTCGGAGCGGCAATCTTTATAAAACTCAGCTTTCTGTGACACGTTATACGCAAATGTTTTCTGTTTCAACTTGAATTTCTTACACGGTTCCCCGTATGTATACGCAGGAGCCTGGCCTTTAAAACCACCACCGTCACCTACCCACCGCCACTTTCCTTTATTTTTTCTTTCATACATACTCTCGTTTTGTTCGTGATTTCCCTTTCATCGGTGAGCAGGGTTCCCACTCATCGCGCGATAAAGTTTATTTTACTCCAATTCTTTCAAACGCTCGACTTAATCGAGGATGGGATCAAGTTCTGAACAGAAACTTGCACGATACTTGATAAAGTCAAGATGGTATTTGAGATTTGGACGATTTTCTGGAAATCGGTACGGAAAGTGATTAAGAACAAATATATATATATAGATAATTAGTATCTCTCTCTATCATTTGTTTCTCCGTATCATCAGCAACCACAAGTGAGGTACGAATTGCATGATTCACCCTGTACAGTATCTGTAAGACATGTGGTTGAATTCTTTTCCAGTGTTTTGAAAGGGTCGAGTAGATCGATGAATGTACATCTGAAAGAGCAAAATTGAAACAAATATCTGCTGGACCCGTTCAATACATGAAAATTCATTAATGTTTCTGTTCTATTCCATTATTTATCCTTTTCTAGACTGCTATGTAAAGGGTTTCAGAATGTCTCGAGATATACATATATATCCTTTTTGAAAAAGAAAAAAAAAAGAAAACAATAAGAGATAATTGTTGAAAGTATCGTGGTAAGGTGGAAAATGTCGTTGACACCATGTGAGTTATTCTTGATCCCATCCGTACATCTCATGCAACCCCGTTGGTCACGCTTTTTTTCCCGGTTATTTCCAGGTGAGTGGGAACCTTGCGGGGGGGCAACTTCTCGCGTCTCTCGATACGCCTCTGCACGTAAGTCGCAAGACAGATTGTTATCAATTGTGTCTCTCCGTACTTCGTTATTCCTTGGTTCGTTCATTTTGTTCGACTCGTTTGCGTCGCAAGCAACAAAAAAAAAAAAAAAAAAAAAAAGAAAATAGCTTCGCTAGAGCTTTTTGCGGGAGAAAAAGAAACAACCAACGGTGTCTGATTGGATGAAAAAGAAAAAAAGAAAGAAGAACGAGCGTTGATCTACACCGCCAGCGGCAAGACAATCAGTTCGATTGTATCTTATTGAGAAAAAAAAAAAAAAAAGAAAAGAAAAGTACGCAGGATTTTTAAGATCGAGAAGCATGTTCGAGAGCATTGAAATTTGTCGAGTCACATAAGTATCTTTTTTTCTTTTTTTTTTTTCTTTTTACAGGACATTACGATGTAAAGTGTTTCATTTAATTTTCGCTTCAGCAGCTTCGTCATTCGTTTGTTCGCTAAGGCATACATTTTACGCTGTAGCAAAAAGATAACTTCGTTCGATATTCGAGAATATTTTGATTTCGTTTTATTTTTCATTTTTTTTTTTCTTCTTCTTCTTAATTTCTGTCGTTACTGGACACGTCTGACGAAGAACAAGAGGATAAATTGTAATCTCAAGATCAATTCTTCCATGGTGTCATTGATACTGTTATTGCAGAAATTGTGATTTCCCTAATGGTGGTCCTCCTGGGTACCAACCAGCTGCCGCGGCTCCTCCTCCGCTGAGCACGGAATACGAGCGACCACCTCCTTATTATTATTATCCTGGGCCAGGGTGAGTTTCCAAATTTCGCAAATTTTCGCCGACAACCATTGAGGGAAATTTCAACTTTTTTGTTTTTTTATTTTTTTAAAACTCTTACTTTTCACGATAAACTGTATTACCCAAAAAGAAAAAAGAAAAAAATACCACCTCCACCGTAATACGTATGTATATACAACTTTTATATAAATCGGTGACGCAGGACTGGTGTTGCCAAGCTTTGTTTTGTTTTCAGGGGCTTTTAAGCGAAAATTCTGTAAATTCTTGTGCCAACAAATGCCTCTCTCTCTCTCTATCTCTCTCTCTCTCTCTCTCAATATTGCATTTTCTTTCGTTTTCCTTTTATTTATTGTGATGTTGTTGTTGTAAAAATCATCTGTTACAAAAGTTTTCTCGAAGTTGTTGTTAACCCCTTGTCGAGCGCTTCAGACCTATGTACTGACACGTTTTCTCTGATATTCTTCCAGGGACACAAATTAGGAAACAAGTGCCGTGGCATGCACAAAGGTAGCGCTGAGTAGCGTGGCTACACACAGTCTCACCCGCAGTTACAAAAGGACGCTCAAGAAGAAAGAGAAATCCGGATGCAAGCGAGACTACGTATAATTGTAGCGTTTCCTGTTGAGCGTGCCACGGACCGTGCGAACGGCGAGATCAATTTAAAGACCAAGTTTGATATATATATGTAATGTATATGTATAACAGACTGAGGTAGGCGAAATGGATCCTTCGGCGAGCGCGAGCTAGTGTGATCAATGTGTGCGATTCGACTCGTTTCGTTTCTAGTATTATATTATGTATTTTTCTTTTTTTCTTTCGTTAGACGTGTCGTGCGTACCACGAGAGAAACGTTACGTTGCGCCGAATATTTCCTTGCGACCAGCAATCCTTTCTCTCCTCTCTCTCTCTCTTTTTTTATATCTTCAACACAGTGCTACAAACCTCTCCCTTTCCTCCCTTCTCCCTTGCTTTTGTTTTTAAATTGCAAAGACAAACTATAATGAAGCGATGAATTCACATCATTTGTGCTATTGTTAATCGGTTGGACCAACACGACTTTTTAACAGGACTGATCATTTTTTACCACCGTTCAATATATATTTCTTCCATTGAATGCCATCGTGACCAAGGTTTCTTCTTTCTTTCTATGATTAGTATTAATATTATTATTATTACTATTACTTATTATTATTGTTACTATTAAAGAAGTTTCGTCGAGACTGAAAGTCTCTCGTCGATTATTATCGCGTTTTGCTCAAGAAGCATTCTAAAGCATTGCAAGGAAATTTTGTTCCGAAACCCTTTCAGTTCTTTCCCTGGCGTTTAGTTCCTAATGTACACGCATAAGAGCACACACAGGATTGAAATCATCGTCTACATTAACCAGTATTAAAATGAAAGTTCATTATCGTGCCTCCCTTATTGACCCACTGGCGTACGCTTCTCTTATACACACACATACATACACAGACACACGTGCACACATACCGACATGACACGATCTGTCTTGTTCCGAAAAGAAAAATAGCGAACGTGTATATATACATTCTCAGCCGCTTGTGTCTTATCGATTAATCACTGCCTCTTTACGTGGACTGCCTACCAAGGGACAACAACCAGATTGCACAGAATCACTATTGATGACAATGACTCTACGCCAAGGCGTCAATGAGCCGTCGTTGCGAGGGAACGTCTGTACGATCGATTTGTATTAACAATTTCTACGTTCCAATTTTTTTCCCCTCGATTGAACGTTCTTCCGAATTGTTAACCCTTTTGCGTAGTTCAACTGATGTTCTAACGCGAACGTGTTAATAATATCGCGTGTGTTCTATCACGGTATTCACAGTTTTGCCGTTTAAAGATTCGTTCGTGAGATTCTCCTTTGTTTTTTGTTTTTATCTGCTTTAAACGATACTGCCATCGTGAACGAGTCGTGTGTTTCGGTGATTTGTATATCCTCTGTGAAGCATCGTGTCGATCGTACAGCTTTCGTTGAAAATACCCGTGAAGGTTCCAACCTCACGATCTCGAGCACTGAACAACGCCATATTTAAATGCCAAACGACATTCTTCAACGTGCGTGGTCCGTGGAGTTCGAACGTACAACGGTACTGATAACGAACTCTACGATCCACTTTGATCTTGCTGGATCGTTCGTAGATGTAAGCGAATCCTGAAACTAATCTCCATCCTGCCAAAAAGAAAAAAGAAAGAGAGCGAAAGAAAGCAGGATTTTAGAATGAACAGACTTTAAACGATGGAGGCTGGTTTCGTCGCAAGATCGTCGCTGCAAAATACTCTATGTACATGGTTCTTTAAGTAGACGTTTTTTCTTACTATTAACTTTACCGTGTAATTTACCGATCTAAGCACCTAGAGGGAGGTTTGCACGTCGCATAGAGTGTTGTAACGCGGCGTGTTTGTCTCATGTTGTGTCTAAGCGACGCGCGAATATCTCGTTAAGCAGATGCAACATCCGTACAGTACTTCTGTAAGAAGGACGAATGCGTTTAGTGTAACGATAAGAAAGAGGAGATGATGGTGGACGAGGAGGAGAAGGAGGAGGAGGTACTTTCGTTTTAGATAGACTCGTTCTCTGCAAGTTAGAGGCTGCTTAAGAGGAGAGATGAATCGCCTCGAATGAAAGTCTTTTTGAAAGCTGTAGCGTCTTTAGAGATGTACAACTCTTTGCAGTCTAAAATCGTTAAGTTTTCATCGTTAATGACAAGGGAATAACATTTTTATTTTCTCTTCTTTTTTTTTTTTTAAATCTACACTAACGTACAAGTTTACACAACGGACGACTGCAGAGGGTTAAAATGAAGTATTTCAAGTTTTAAAACTTAGATATATTAGGAATTGAAGTAAACCGATTGGTAGGAGTTCATAAGAATGTTAATCTGTAATTGGACTTGTACCATTTGGTGATTGAATTTCTCGTTCGTAGGTCCAAGTTCGACGATGTTTTTCTAAGTGTTCTCTCATCAGACTCTAGACACTGGTGAATTGCTGTACCGAGATTTGGGATGTTGCATTACTCCTAGAGAACCCTGTTTCACATATAGTCGTTGCCGCCGCGAGCAGCGAGTTTTAACGTTATCGATTGTACGGTAGATTACGCCGCCCATGCTACACGGTCCTTGATAGACTGTTCTAGCAGATTGCCAAAAGAGAAATGCAAAATGGAGGGGGAAAAGAAAGCACGAGGAAGAAGAAAACGTGAGAAAAAAAAAGGAAAATAGGTACGAGTGCTTTCCTCCATAATTGTACGAAGACGCGAGAAAGTGAGAGCACAAAAAGAAAATCATTAGGGTCTTTTTAACGGATAACGAAGAAAGAGAGAGAGAGTAAGTGTGTGATGATCGCGTGAAAGGGAGAAACAATACCTCTGTGAATGATTGTCCGAGTAATAAAATGAAGAAGAGAAAAGGTGAGAGAAGGAAGTTGGCGAGAGGAGAAGACGATTATTTCCGCTCTCTCATTAATGTATTTACATACACATTTAGCATAGTGGAAAGTAAGCTACGTTTTTAGCGTAATATCAACGGAAAAACACAGATATCATCATCAGTTGTTGTCGTATGTATGAAAAACCGAGGAACCGTGATGTCATTTCTTCCTTTTTTTTTTTTCCTCCTAAAGAATGTAATAATCAAATTGCTGTGTGGACTTGTAAAACTATTTTATCCGGTGAACTATATTAGCCATGTCTCGTAAAAAGAAAAAAAGAAAAAAAAGAAAAAACGGGATAAAACTGCATGAAAACGAGCACGGAGAACGAGTGCCGTGTAGAAGAAGTTCGTGTTGAATCACACGAACGACGAAAAAATTTCCAAATACCGTGTGCCGCTGAAAGACACCGCGGAACCCTTTTTCTGGTGCTATTTTTATATATGGAAAAAAAAAAAGAATACGTAGCAACGATTTGATACAGCGGGCACTCCTTCTCTACATTCGAGAACACGTCGAGTAAAGTGTATGATAATGGGGACTTTCAGCCGTTGAAAAGGAAGGAAGACAATTTTTACTGCCTTCTAGAGGGGAAACCATAACGGGAAGACATAAGTTGGGATTTTCGTGAAATCTCCCAAGGAGTCGGTTCACCTATGGGTAGTCCAAGTTTTCAATCTTAGATCGTGTTCACTGTTAAAGTGTTATAATCTTCGACAATTCCATAGACGTGTTTCAAATAAAAGTTATGTCCATCGTTGACATTTCTTTCTTTCTTCTGAGAAATACTCTCACTGCTAAATGTGTTTCGATAAGAAGGATGTATATATTATATGAAAAGAACTCTCTCAGTCGTTAGAGAAGCTTGAAGACGTCGACCACGGTTTGCAATTGTAAACGTCGACTACCGACAGGTGATTACGTGAGTTTTAAAATGATTTTGATGTAGAGGTATTTATACTATTAAAAAAAAAAAAAAAGGGTATCGTTCGAGAGTTTCCTTGCATTCTCTTGTCTGCTCAATCTTCGGGACACCCGTTACGTGTTCGAGCCGGGTGTTCTCCTTCGTTTCTTTTTTTGCTGAACTTCAGCAGCCATTCCATCGGAATCGTTCTTGGAGAATCGGTGATTAACGATCAATTGCGGTGAATTCGGTTCGATTGGGATCTTCCAAGAACGCATTCCGTTTCGAAGAATGTCGAATCTTTGATAGGAGATGTGCAAGTATGCGTATGTATGGTGTATGCCATCGACTATGGTGTTTTTACAATTCACCGATTGTGTTTGTTAAAATTAATTATTATTGCTATTACGATGATTATTAATATTATTATTATTATAAAATGAGTGTATCACAGTTTAAATATATCTATTTTATATTAAATCATCAACGCCCTGGGAAGAGTCTCTTTACATTGATCTTCTGTACACGGGATTTATAAACATTCATGTACATAATTTACATATCAAACGCATATTAATAATCCACGGCTGTTTGCTGTGAGATAAGGCCACTTTTGAAGATTAACGATAAGGTTCAATTCCTGTCCGCTCGACTCGTGTCATCAGCAATTAATTCTGTTATCTTTGCCCCACTTGCGCATCACTCGAATGATCTGTTCCACTTGTGAGTTCGAAGTGTTCTTCAGAAGTTGTATGATTTCGGGTAACAATTCTCTAGAAGTGATGGTGTAATGAAATTAAGGATAAAATATTAATAAGAAAAAACTTACTTCGGTTGCCTGTCGGCCACGATGTATTGAAACGTGCCGCAACAAGCACCCCTTTTACCCTCCCAATTTTCGGGACTTGGATCCATTCGTTCAAGCATGTCGAACGCTTTGGCTGCATACCAAAATTCACCGACTTTGTAACAGTCATTGGCGATTAATTGGAGTAAATTAAACGATTCTGTAGTTGTGTCCATTTTCAAGTACAAATCCCAGGCGAGCTGAGGCTTCTTGTTCATTATATCTAATTCAAGAACACAAGTGAATCACTATGTTAATTAAAATGAAATATTATATCGTGATTACTTACAGCAATGGGCTAGAAGACTAATGTAAATGTAATCATTTTTATATTTCTCGTTTCGTATGTTTAAAAATGCCTCCTCCGCCTCTTTGAAGTAGCCTGCTGCAGCTTGCGCTTGAGCATAATTAAAGTTAAAGTTATCTTCATTAGAGAAGTAAGTTTTAATGGAATTTAGATAGACCAGAACTTCCTCGAATTGTCGAAAAAGAAAGAAACAAGAAGCCATACACTGTCTACCAGGTATGGTGTCGCATTCTGATGCAGAAGAACCCACTAATTGGAAATACTGTTGAGCCGTCTTAATGTTATCACGCTGAAAATCAATTTTTTCATTCATTTGGTTGGCAGTTTCTTCAATTTTGCGAAAACTTACGGAATTCGTTTCTTGTCCCATTACTGCATTAACTATTCCCTTTAAAATGTATTCCTGTGGAACAGCTGGTTCAAGATCTTTGATTAATTCAAATGCTTCCCTCACATCATCTTGTTTCAAATAATAAATTACTAGATTCAGCCTGGCTTCTGGTATAACATCCACTAAATTTGGCAAAATTTGCAATGCACCTTCTCCACCTTTAAATACCTGAAGGAAATTAATGTTGACTGAAATTTTATAGGGATTAATGAGTTGAAAGACACTTTTGTAGTATTACATACTATTGTGTTGTGCCTTATAAGATCATAGCTGAAAGAGCTGGACATTTTTTCTATTAGTTGTTTCATTTCATTTTGTGCAGCAGTGCCATTGTATAAACGAAAATGATTGCATGCTTTCAGATTGATGGCAATAGCACTATCAGGGTACTTTTGTAGGTAAACTTGGAGAACTTCTTGAGCTACATCATAGTAATCCAATTTGTAGTAACACAAGGCAACATATACATTTAATGCAAAATATTCTCTGCACAAAAAAAAATATTATTTTTGAAGACTGAACAATGAAATGTACACTTTTCTTTTTTAAGTATGGAAATCATGGGAAAAGAGGAGGTAGGAAATGGGTACCTGGAACTTCTCAATTCTGTAATCAAGTGCATATCTGAAGCTTTACCATTTAAATACTCATCACTGCTAATTGAATCATCACTATTCATGTCTCTAAGGAATATCTTGCTTTAAAATATAAAAATTCTAATGATTTATTAGGTGAAAGAAGTAAAATTGACATCAACCTGTTCTCTAGTAGAATCTTTTTATAAACATCAATAGCTTCTTGGTAATGAGCTCTGAGGTAGTGAATAGAAGCTAAACTAAGTTGATCTTCTATTACATCTTCCAGCATGTGGTGGTATTCCATTAATTTTGCTTCATTGCTCATTTTATGTGCCAGATGAAATAAGAGTCTGTTCTTTAATTTACTATGTGGAGCATCCTCCAGAATTTTTTGTGACTCAGGGTACATTCCAAGCAAGAAATAACAACATGCTAAATTCGTTGACAAATCTGCTGGTACTTGTTCTTTTTTTGTCAAATTTTCGTAAATTGTTGCTGCACGTTTGTAATCTCCTAAGTGAAAGGCACAGTAGCCCATCCATAGCTCAGAGTTTATGTTACTTTCTGAAGCATTGTTGAATTCCAAAAGTGTTAAAGCGCCTGTATAGTCGCGTTTCTCTAAGAACTCCTCTAATTTCGGGATCTTTTTATCTGATGCAGACCTTTTTACTCCCTCAGATGAAACTGGTTTAGCTCTTGATAGTATCTGTCACAAATTTCGTAATGAAAATATTAGAATACCTTCACTTCGGAAAAATGGATTGAATAAACGAGATACGAATAATATAATAGACCGAATGTACAAGAAAGTAATTTTTAAAACACTGATAAATTATAATAATTAATAAAAAAATGAAAATACGGCGTACAATGCAATGTTTACCATTTTTAGTCTCTGTTGCTAATAGATACATCAGTTTATTGATTGCCCTGTAGTTATCAAAACGAAAGTACATAATAGCGCTATGTTTAATTAACTTAGATTATTAATTCTTTGAAGAATAATTATATAATTAAGAGATCATTGCTAAGATTCAAAAATTTGAATACATATGTAGAAATTTCAAATTAAATTGTTTTCTTCCCACCTATAGATGTCAGTTCTATG